GATCGATCAGGAGAAAGCTTTCAATGTCAATTATCACATCCCGATCAATCGATCGAGAGCGGCCCGAGTTTGGACACTAGCTATGGCCGAGGCGATCGCCATTACCGAACCTGTGTGCCCCAAAAAGACTGGTTTAAGCGCTCCAGTCGCCTTGGTCGGGTGTGAAAACCGAGACAGATCATGACGTGTCACTTGACCCAAGTGGGGAAGGGTTACATCAACTAATACACTAAACACTCCTGCACACACACACACACACACACACACACACACACATACACACACACACACACACCACTTCCATTACTCTCTGCCTCCGATTAATGACCTTAAATTGAGCCAATGGCTATCATTATGTAAGGATTTTTTCCACTATATGATATGTAAGAGCATGACTAGGAATATCCGAAAACAATTGTTCCCTCACCGACTCGTTTCCTCAATGCTATCAAGGGAATATTCATGCTTTTGGGAAAGCAATAAGTTTGCAGTTGAACTGAAGAAAGAATTTGATAACAAACTGTTTATTTTAAACTGAAAAGCAGGATAACTCCGGTTCCACATGCTTTCATGTGGAATGAATTCGTCAGTGTAGCACAAGACGTGGTCGGCGGGAGAGGGAGAGTTTGTGTGTGTTTGTGTTATAACTCTACGCCCCTGGTTAAGAAGAACACAATTCACTGAATTGGAACGAACTGACTGTAATTGTGTCAACACAATTAAGAGGGTCAATGGGTGAAATACAGATCTATAATCAGTCGGCTTATCAATTCTGGTAGATCGATAGCGAAGCCGATCAGTCACGTGACCCCCGTTGGTAAGTTTTGAGCTCTCATTACAAAAAGCATGGACAGGAAGAAAGCGATTATTCACCTGAAGCGTTTGATGCTGACCTAGTCAGTTTGCTTTTAAACATCTCCCGAAACAGTGTGAAGAAAGAAGTTGCTGAAAATAAAAGTTGACAACGTTACAAATTTATTGTCTTATACTATTTTCCATCCACAGATGAATATGTTGTCGTTGTGGAGGATGTTACACCAATGGAACCATGTCAGCTGTCCTCAGCAGAAATGCCATTCATCTCACCCGAAGTACTTCAGTCTCCTTCACGACTTCCACCTTTGTTCATCAGGCTGATTGCCGTGCAGTCAGGTTGAGACTAAACGCCTGTCTCATTGGACCGCTTTTTCTCCCAATTGAAAATTGACCAGGGTGTAAAAATGTGCCTTTATCTGACAGAATGCTGAAATTTTTCGACGAAAAGCCACCTTCAGATCATGAACACGGATTGTTTACAATTTATTTATTCAAGATTTGATACCGAGACAAAAATTAATCAATGAAATATCACGAATCACAACGCGCGCAATTATGTCTTATTTAAAAATTAGGTCATTCAATTCTTCGACTCTTACCGTGAGATCAATAAAACCGACTTCATGGTGATCACACATGTGGTTTTTCAAGTTAGCAATTCGCAGTTCGTTAACCAGAGCCGTACGTTTCATCATCTACTTGATACCATAACGAATGTAATGGATGTTTTACAAGGTCAAACGGAAAACGTTAAGTAATGTGATTACGGAAAAATCATTGGTTCGTGGCATACTGTCCCACCACGAGGAAGAGAACAAAACTGGAATGATACTCAAACAATGATAACGATGTTTTTTATCCGGGTCTGAGCACTGGTTGTGATAGGGTTCGATTGGACAGCTGTGTAAGCGAATGAGTGCAGTATTTCATCTGTCTGATAAACAGCACGTTTGTAGGCTCTTGTGACAGCCTAGCATCACAAAAATAATGGTCTATTGGTTACAGTGTCAAATTGTAAGCTTTGTCTGTTGAATTTACCCGAAAGTTGAACTGTACACTTTTGTTTTCGGTTACAAACGGGGTTGGGGAGGGAGGTGCTCAGTTCTGGTTGGCATATATTATCGAACAACTTGATCATATTTGCATTTGACAGTGTGATACGTTTGTATGCTACAGATTAGTTCTATCACTGTTAATATCTAAAAGATAAACGGACGGTGTGGCCATGGGTTCCTAACTTAGCCCACTCCTTGCAGATGTTTTCGTAACCAAACTGGAAAACGACGAACGAAGACATCATTCATCTTCTCCCTCTATGCTCTTGTTATGTCGAAGACATTTCTATCTTTTCCGACAAAAGTATTTTACGGAGCACAATAATGTTGTATCGTTTTAACCAAGCTCATCCGTCAACCAACATTGCGATGGAAACAGAAGATCAGGATACATTCCACTTCCTCNCCTCGACGTTAACCTGAAGAAGGGGCTTAATGGAAAGTTATACCGTTCAATTTTTCGAAAACCAAAATGGAACGGCCAATACATCCATTTTCAAAGTTTCGTTTCAGTCAAATTTAAAAGACACTTAGTCCAATGTCTTGCCTTCAGAACTCGAATGATTTACTCCAAGGATCTAATGGAGGAAGAACTTAGATTCATCAAATCTAAACTCTTGAATAACAAATACCTGGACAGGTTCATCGAGAACAACCTCGTAGAAAAGCCCACACTACCTAAAACAAGCACGGCCAAAAAGAAAGAACTATTCTAGCATCTTCTGTTCAAAGGCTATTAAAGTTGTGATCTTCTAAGGAGACGTCTTGAGAANCCCGCCACTCTACTTTTGATGTTTACAAGCCGGCTTCAGCTCTGTACAAACCTCAAGGATAAGCTGCCCATCCTTTCCTGAGCTATGGTTACGTATTCGTTCACTTGCACATGTTCGGCAAGTTATGCAGGACGAACGATTAGACAGTTCTCACAAAGGATCAGGGAACATAAACCGGTTTATGATAATATAATAATATATAAAATAAAATAATATATTAGGAATAATACTCTACCAGCTGAGCTACGAGGCCACACCGATAGCACTGATCTATTTCACATTCGAATTTACCCATCCAACTTACAGAGGCATGTGGCATCCACCAGTTAGCATGTAAGCTGACTGCCTCGACAGGTTTTCCTTAGAATTCACCGGACTCCACCGAATGAGCTTCTAAGACAATCGACATACAAACTTCAAATCTGCCAAACAACTATTTGAACATATTAGGAATAATGTCTTTTTTACTGATCACTTGTTACTTCATCGATAAGAAAACGACCAACCAAAAGGCTATAGCACGGGATACAATGGGAGGGTGAAGTTTGAGGTGGGGATGATTCGATTAGAACAGGTGACCTCCGGAGCGATTCGAGAATGAAGTACAACATCGGCTGTATAGTTTATCGCTCACCACAACAGTTTATGCTAGTTCGCAGTGTTAAACAATGCAAGACATGCAGTTAATCAGTTCGGTGATAAAGCGGGATTAGGGTAACAGCCTAATGTTATTCTCAGCGATGAGCTCTTAACGAGGACTTTGTTGTGTAGTTTTGTTCTAGTTAACCATTCATTATTACTCAAGGATTTGGGTCAATTCAGTGGTAGTGACAGAGAGCAGAGACATAGAAGAAAGCCGAGAACTAGTCGGGTGACATTAAGTTACCGAAAATTCTTGTTCAATTTATATGCCTATTCTCATCAAGCTTTAGCCAAAACCCGCAATCCTGTAGCCTCAACGCAGAAACTTTAGTTATGTCGCAGTGGGAGAGACAAGTCAAAAGTATCGGGATACTATGAAGTCAGCGGATGTTAAAAAACATATTTTCTACAAATGTTGATGTTGCAGAAGTTGGTTAGGAACTAAGGTTTGGAGTTGCATACTGCAACACATGTTCTGATGGGAGAAGGTTTAAACGATATGCCTGTATCGTCAAATCATTTGACACATCTCGTACAGTGTCAGTGTTTCTGTACAACATGCGATACTTCTAGGATTGAAAATCTCAAGTGCAACTCAAACGGTACACTGTTTGGCATTCGCAAATGAATTCTGATCATCAGAAGGGGATACATAAACGTGCTCAGGATAATAAACCGCTTGTAAAAGTACACACTCATAACTAACATCGGTTTATTAACGCTGCAACATATGTTATAATTACCACAGTTGAGGCTTAATTATTACAGGTTTTGTCTATAACTTCTTGGGAAACGGTGTTCTAAAGGGGGTCTTTTATGAACAGTGTTTATTATCGTCTACTTGGTAATGTATACAAATCTCAAGAACAGAGTTCACTTAAGATGGATATATGAAACGGTAAGAATATATCTTTTGATTTATTTCAGTGCTTGTGAATGCAAAACAACTTACCGTTTGTGTTACACTTAAGATTTTTACTCCGAGGAGTATCGCATACTAAACAGAGACGCTCAACCTGTACGAGATGTGTCAAACAATTTGACGATACGAGTACATCGATTAAACCTTCTCCAATCAGAACATGTGTTGTAGTATGCAACCCAAAACATTAGTTCCTAGCCGAACTTTGCAAAATCAACATTTGGAGAAGTTTTTTGTCAACATCCGTTGACTTTAGATTATTCCGGTACTTTTTAATCCGACTCACCTATTGTGACATGGGTAAAGTTTGTGCCTCGAGGTTGGAGAACTACGGCTCTTGGCTAAATCAGTGCGGACTTTGGCTACAGAGGATTACGGGTCGAGGCTAAAGGATTGCCGGTTTCAGCTAAAACTTGATCGGAATAGGTGTAGTATCAACTCATTAAGTTTGCGATTCACTGAGAACAAAGCACAAAAGACATTCCTTGTTTCCTTGGTAACAAAGGGCGGTCAAGCTAAGTGCTGGCATGAGGGTATGAAAACCCTAACCAGGAGACTAGGTCACATCGGCCCCGTTAGGCTCCCTGGCTGGGGACCTCGGGATGATGGTCACCGACGGTTAGAGACACTGAGTGCTATGGCTGGGTGTCGCAAACAGTGGCGCTCGTGCATCCAGTCGTTATTTTCCTAACACTCTATATGTATTCCCCATCTCACTCTATATGTATTACCCATCTTCCGCTTGAATTTGCTTCGACATTCCAATCTTCATTTCGCTATTTTATCCAAATGGGCAACCAAAAGACAGCAACCAAAACCCGCGCACGAAAGTGCATGGTTAATGGTTGTAAAACTGAAACTGAAACTGGTAATGTAGTAACCAGTAACGGGTTATTTTTGCATCAAAAATTGCTATCACTGATATCGTACAGAAGATCAGGTGATTACTTTCGTGTTGCTATTTGTTCTGTCAAATCAAGCATAATGGTTACATCATTTCAGTTTAAGTCATTCGTAAGAATCAATAACTGTACAGATTTGTAATGTAGTGCATCAAGCACAGCCGCGCATGGTGCCTACACAAATTTGAAATTCCTCTGGGGATTACATCGGGGTCAGCTGACTTACATGTCAGCGACTTCGTTTCAGAAATCAGATCAAAATGGAACAATGTGGTGCAAAGTCTCCTTGTTATCGAAACGTTGAAACGGTGTGAAATTGTTTTGAAACCCGCGGATGAGAGATGGTAAAGGTCTGATACGATCACATCCCGTTCGAGGCTGATGAATAAACGAGAGGAGCCTAGTACACACACACACACACTAGCTTGCATCGATTGCCGAACTGGATGAGATCTAATGCATTCATGACTCAGTAACCATGGGGTCCCTTCGATGAGCACAGTTGAAGCTTGTTTGTTCGAACTCCGTCGCCGATCAAACATCTGAGGTTATGCTAACCCATGAATCACTTACGGTTCCAGAGTTATTGATCGGGTTACTGCGACATATCACACTACCATCATTTGTCCTGCCTCGAGAATCACGTGAGATCTGGTCACAAACGTGATGAATCAACAAACGAAGTTGTGTGTGCGTGTGTGATATGAACTTCAAACCCGCTTCCGGCTCTATTTCTTGTGAATAATGTGAAGTACAGTCCACGAAATATCACGACGATCACCTTTAACTCAGTAAGAAAAACACTACAAAGTGAAATACTCAACGTTGATTTCAGCATGATCTGGTTAGGTAACCTCTAGTGAATAAGGTCTTTGTGTCTATTTTTACAAAGCGCAATGTAAAACTCGTGGTTTAGTACCCTAAAATCATGACTGTATGCAGGTTTCGATGATGAGGATAATTGGATGATATCCTACCAAGAAAATCAAAAAATCAAAAAAGGGTAATTAAAGCATGTCTTATCGTTTCCACTTATTTTGAGAAGAC